TTGGAAGATAAGTCACCAGCAAGTGGTCACTGCGTTGCCTTGAAGGGAGCCTGCGCGGCCTGGAAACATTGAGCTATGTGTCGCATTTACAATAATACAGACTGTTTGTCCTTTGAATTGCTGGTGACTTATCTTCCAATACCTGGGATACAACTTTGTCAATGGCAGGGCTGGCCAGGAGCCAGGTAGCCAATGCTCCTTAAATTACAGCTGGCACTTATCTTTTGAGGTTTAGTTTAACTGTCATTGGCGATGGCGCCTTAAAAATAAATCTTATTGGTTCCTGAATTGTTTATGAATTTGTCCATCCCTGGTCTATGGAGAGAAGGAGGTGGAAGTAGGTGCATGCTTGCAGCTCCAGTACCGGTTTCCTTGCAGGGTGCAATAGCAAGCAGACGAGGTTTTGTAACCTCTGATTTAATCATACAACTTGCAGAATGTTTGGTCTGGGCATTCCAAGTCCAGGCAAGAGATAAGGGCCCGATCATCAGTCAATGCTTGGTTAATCAAGGACACAATGCATTGCATCTCCAGTTTGGACTGAACATGAACAGAACTGTAAAGCCTTGTTCACACCAAGCGCGTTCCAGGAGCAGAGCAGTTACAGACCGGAGAAAAACTCAGTTCCAGAACAGGTAAAATAACTGCAGCAGGCCCTATTTTACCTGCTCTGGAACGTACTGAAAGCCCATTTTAAACTAAGAAAAATTTTTTTATTTTAAACCAAAAACGGCCCTGAACGCATAAAAAACGCGGCACAACCCACTGCACTGCGTGTGCAGAAACTCATGCAGATCTGGTCTGCTTTTGGTGTGAACAAGGCCTAAATGCTGACATAATATACAATGCGTGGTATATAGAACATAGTTGGATATGTTTTGGCTCTAGTGTGTAGTTTGCTCACTGGCTTCACAGTGTGAGCGTGATGACACGAAGGGAATACTTCCTCTTGATTCCCCAGTTCTGTCTCTGGTTCATGTCCATTAGCCTGAACTGAGTAGGAGGCAGTGGAGCCGAGTTGTGGTTCCTGTCTGGTGGAGGGAAGGGCTGTCCTCTCAGGGATGCAATGGGATTTACCCCCTCCTCCTTCTTCCCTCTGATAGTTTGCAGCTTGCAGGGCTGCTGTGTGAGGGGAAAGAATCTGTGTCTGGGTTCTTCAAAGAGGAGGAGGGGGGATATGTTTTCTGTTTGTTTCTGAGAGCTGGCTCTGACTGTGTAACCATCTCGGTGCCGCCGGCATGTGTGTTTTTAAAGCTGTGCTGCAATACTATCGTGCTATACCAGGCCGTATACATCATTCTATGCTGTGCGTCATATACGCCTCAGAATAATACCAGGCTCTGCATCGTGTAATGTTCACCAGGCTGTACAATGTGCGTCCATGCATCGTGTAGTGTTCACCAGGCTGTACAATGTGCGGCCATGCATCGTGTAGGGTTCACCAGGCTGTACAATGTGCGGCCATGCATCGTGTAGTGTTCACCAGGCTGTACAATGTGCAGCCATGCATTGTGTAGTGTTCACCAGGCTGTACAATGTGTGGTCCTGCATCGTGTAGGGTTCGCCAGCCAGTACAATGTGTGGCCCTTGGCAGAGCAGTACTCGCCAGCCAGTACAATGTGTGGCCCTGCATCGTGTAGTGTTCACCAGCCTATACAATGTGCGGCCCTGGGCAGTTTAGTACTTGCCACCCTGCACATTGTGTGGTCCTGGGCAGTGCAGTACTCGCCAGCCTGTACAATGTGTGGCCCTTGGCAGAGCAGTACTCGCCGGCCTGTACAATTATCAGGCCAGAGCTATTTATATAGTATATATGCCAGTCTTTGTAACCGCATTCCCTGCACTGTACAATGTACATCAGTCCTTTTTTTTTATTCTGGCTCTTGCTTTGTGCAATATTCACCAGACTGTACAATATAGCGTCCTGTGTTTTTTTTTATTAGTCTGCACGGTTATATTCACCAGTCTGTATAATATATTACTATTGTGTACATTATGAGGTCCTGCATTTTGCAATACTGACCAGTTTGTAAAATATTGGGTTCTGTATTGTAAAATGGCAGCAGTCTGCACTGTGCTATTATAGTGACGAGCCTGTCCAATATGGGGTTCTGTACTGTGCAATATACACCAGTCCGTCCAATATGGGGTTCTGTACTGTGCAATATACACCTGTCTGTCCAATATGGGGTTATGTACTGTGCAATATACACCAGTCTATACAATTTGGGGTTCTGTACTGTGCAACATACACCAGTCTGTACAATATGGGGTCCTGCATTGTGCAATACTGACCAGTCTGTACAATATGGGGTCCTGCATTGCGAAATAGCACCAGTCTGCACTGCAATATTATATTCATTAGTTTGAACAGTTCAGAGCCCTGTGTTGTATTGACTGAGGTACATTGTACAGTTCAGGACCTCATCTTGTAAAATGTACCTCAGTCAGTACAATATGGGGTCTGCACTGTACAAGTATATTTACAAGTCCATATAATATGGACTCCTGCACTTTGCTAATATATTCACCAGTCTGTACAAAATGGGGTCTTGCGCTGAGCTATTATAATCGCCAGTCCATACAATATGGGGTCTTGCACTGTGTAATATACACCAGTCTGCACTATATGGGCTCCCGCACTGTGCAGTATACTTCAGTCTGTACAATATGAGGTCTTGCATTATGGGGTACTGACCAGTCTATCCATTATGGGTACAAGAATAGCTCTTGCATTGTGTGGTACAGACCAGTCTGGATATTATGGGGTCCTAAGTAGTATACCCCAGTCTGTGCAATACTAGACCCTGTACTGTAAAATACCATGTTTTTGTGCTGGACGTTACACCCCAGTGTTTACAGTCTGGTCTGTACATTGTCTACCAGACTGTATAATACCCTGTATTGTGCAATATGCACCATTCCTTACACTACTAAATCTTGTATTGTGCAGAATTCTTCAGGCTTTACAATATCTGTCCCTGTACTGTGCAATATACACTAGTCTGTACAGTACAAGGTGCTCCCCCTATGATATAGAACTATAATTGTAAAGAGCTATATAAATCCTGTATTATAACAATAATAATTTTGTATATAATGTATAGCACCTACATCTGGCCCAATCTGTACAATCAATGTAGTACAGAGTTCATACCAAATATTATTCATGCTGTGTTACCCGTGTAATATGCACGCAGGGATCATCGGGTCCCGTTGTTTTTTTGTTAGATGTAGGCAATAACTAATGTTTGTACATTTCAGGCCTTCTTTGTAAAGTGGAAGCACCAAAACTTGCAGCAGCCAATAAGAATTATTGCGAGTTGCTATACTTTTTTTTTTTTACTATCACTCTCTGGTTGCTATTGATTACTGTGATCTGTACATTCTCTGTACTTCCCTTTCACACTAGACTGCCTTGTGTCCTATTCAGATATTCATACCGGTCTGAGCAGTGAGAGACATACATGCGGCGTATGTGGATGCCGTGTTCCCCTGCATAGCGTGTACTGTGTGGGTAGCCCATCGTTCTCTTCTTCGCTGGTTGCATTGTCACAGCTGACTGCCGGCGGTCTTCCTGTGGCTCTCCTACAAGCTGCCCTCTTTGTTAGTTGTGCTGTCATTCGGTGGTAGTGCACATTGCACCGCAGAGCTCGGTCTTCCGGGCTGGTAACTGATGCCTTCTTGGCCGGTGCCCAGGCCTGGCTGTCGGCCAGAGCTCTCATCTTCCAGAACAAAGTCACCTTTCACCTCTGAGTTCTTGGCCATTAGCCGGCCTGTGATGTCACCATCAGCTGCCCTCGTGATCCCTATCCAAAATGACCCTTTTAAGGTTTTTCTGTACATATTTGTGTCATCTCAAGTGTTGTTCTCTGCTATATTTTTATGATGTACTAAGGCTTTGATCAGATTTTTTTTTTGCACCAAGAACCTTAAGTCAAAAAGACCAGCGGCTTCAGAGCAGTGATGCGATGTCCTTAAAGGGCACTGTATTCTTTGTATAGCGCACCCTAACTGCTGCATGCACGACTTGTAAAAGGCAATGCAGATGTGCAACGTATTTTCTTTCCAAACCTGAGTAGGAATTTGCATGTGCTGTTGCAATACTCCTAATCCCTGATATGTACTATCATTTAGGCCCAATTTACAGCGGTGTGGTCCAATATGGTGCATTAATGCACTTTTCATTAAGGCAGCCTATTCATTTGAAGCACCGTAATGAACCTGTCATAGCCAGCACGGCACATAACACATGGCAGTGCCTTACTGTGTCTTGTGGTTCACTGCAACGCATGGCTTAATGTGTTAGGGTGTCATTCAAAATGTGCATTGCGGTGTGTTGCCATGCATTGCAGTCACAGACATCAAATGCACACTTGTATGTGGAGCCAGCCTTGGTCCAGCAATATGAAGTTGCTGCACGTTAATTAAATGATATAATCAAAGCTTAAACTTAATTGCTTGACATGGCTACGCCTTTATTTTTGAACATTAATTACTAATGTTATTTTGCCATGTTCGTATATAGGTGTGATATAAAAATGTGAATCTGATGCATTTTCTTTTATATATTTGTGTTATGTATTATATATTATTCTTATGAATATGTTCACACCAGGTCTCTTTACAGACGGGCCTTAAAAATAGAAAGGTGTATAAGTAATTCTGTTCCTTCAAGGTGCTTATTCATTATAAAGTTAAAACTCTACCCTCCCCTTTAGATTGAGAGCCCTCAGGGACAGGGCCCTCCTTACCATCTTGTCTTGCATTGTATTGTCATTGTAATGTCTTCCTTATATTGTAAAGTGCTGCGCAAACTGTTGGCGCTATATACATCCTGTATAATAATAATATTTAAACACACAGTTGTTGCCGCTAGCAAATATTCAAGGTTTACCTTTTTAATTTTATGGAAAATTGTGTTTTTACTGAATTAAACCTTGTGGTGTTTTTTTGATTTTCTTGCGATTGTTAATTTTCTGTATTTTTCTTCCTCACAGTTGACATGGACGATGAAGATGGCCGATGTTTGCTAGATGTAATTTGGTGAGTAACAATGAACAGTTTAGTAAATTAAGCCTTAAACAAAATGTTAACAATTGTTCTTTAACTTCATAACCCTTTTTCTCAGGTAGAACAGATATTTGTACCTACCAAGCGCTTTTCAGCCCTTCATCCATTTGAGGGTAATCTTGTTTTTTTTAAAAAAAAGGTCTGCCCCCCTCTGTGGATTTGGCCCTGTGGATTATGACCCTTCATCACAAAACATCCACCGTTTTGGTTGAAGTTGCACCTGTCTTTAAGTGAAGGCCAGAGGCTCTGTTCTTCCTGCAAGGTCTGGCTCTGCAACTTTTGTTAGTGGTGACCTTGATCTGTCACTATAACTCTTACAGGGCTATTCACAAAAGTGTGAAGAGTTTGTAGAAGGCAGGAGAAGTGAACAATCTAGGACATCATAGCTGAACTGTAAAGTGAACTGAATTGGAGAGTTTTTCCAAATCAGCTCTGTTGTCCTAGATTGTTCACTTCTCCTGCCTTCTCCAAACTCTTCACCCTTTTGTGAATAGCCTTGTAAGTCTATTAGAAGGGATCTGATCACTATGGCAGTCGATCTCTTGATCATGTGTTTAGGACGAATGCCCATGGCCCTGAACTACAGAGTGGAGGGGTTGTTGGAGATTTCCGTATCATTTCCAGCATGAGTCTGCTGTCACTTCATAAGCGGAAGGCAGTTTGGGTAAAGTGAATAACTGCAGAATCTCTTCTGTGGTCATCAAGATTGTATACTTACATGTCCCCATCTTGCCAGCACTCCCGCGATCCCTATACTTTGCTGTGGGCCCTCTGCTCTTCTAATCTGTGGCCCTGCCATTCGACATATCTTCCTCACCTTGGATATTCACCAAGGTTCTAGGCCCACTACAAGCCTTGGTGCATTCTCAGGGCATTCCCATTATGGGCTATCTGGACAGCCTCTGCGGAGGGAACAGTTAGCACAAGTTCTGACCATTATAGACCTTGCAAAGGTTTCGGTGGATTATAAAACTTCAGAAACTGGTACTGGTTCATAGCTAGGAATATGTGGTTCTAGTCCTGGACACGGCTCATCAGGTGGTTTTTCTTCCCAGGAAAAAATGTCAAACTCTACGCTCTGACTTTATTCTTCAGTTCAAGGGTTGCCTGACCCTTCACTTTTGCATGAGTCTCCTTGGAGGCAGTCCCATTTGCCCAGTTTCACTCCATACCCCTACAACACAACATTCTGTCGCTGTGGCAAAAGTCAGTCCTGCCTTTGGACAGACCAATCCATCTGGCTCTGTATACCAGGTTGTCTCTGGCTTAGTGGATAAGGAATCCAGCTATGGAGTCTGGGAAGTCTACTCTTCCCATCTGCTGGTAGATCATCACGATGGATGCAAGCCTGTCAGGCTGCGAAGGAGTCTGGCCCACCCAGCTCAACATCCAAGTCAGTGCAGGGGATTTGGATGTCAGGGGAATTTCATCTCCCGATCATCCACCTAAATCTTTGGACGATTTGGCTCTTTCTGTATTGGACTAACCTGGCGGAAGGTCAGCCGGATTCAGTTGGACAACACGTTAATGGTGGCATATATCGCCATAAGGGAGGAACCAAAAACTTTGCCGTGACAAGAAAGGCAGATCGCATCCTGTCCTAGGCAAAACTTAAAGTTCCTGCCTTGTTCATGTACATCACAGTCAGACAATTGGTAGGCAGACTTCCTCAGCCGACAGTGTTGCAGGTACAGGATGCTGGATGTGGATCTCCTGACCTCAAGGGTCAACAACAAACGGGACAGGTTTATCTCCAAGTACAGGGTCCTGTAATGGAAGCAGAATCTGCTCTGGTGGCTCCCTGGGATCAGTACACCCTGATCAATGCCTTTTTCTCCCCTGAAACTCCTTCCTCATCTGTTTTTCCATGAACGAGAGGGAAGGGCAATTTGGTGGTTCTCATAGCTCTAGTTTGGCCTCATCCGATGCCAGCTTTAGATGCAAAGTCCTTTTTAGGCGGCTCTTTGAGCTGCAATCTATTCCCAGTTCTGATGTTTTATTAGGGGTCTGTTAGCATTTTCTATGCTGTGTTATCCACCCCTCAGTTGGATGGCTTTTGGACATGCGGACAGTATAGGACTGTGTCCCTGGGAGTAGGAAGGTTATCCTGGCATAGCATAAAATTTCTATGTTTGCCAGTACCAATCCTCCTGTAGGCAGCAAAATAACCCAACATTATAGGACTTCCTGGGTGCCTCCGTGGACTCCAAGAAAAGGATTTTTGGTTTCAACTTTTATTGTAAAGCTTTAATACAAGCATTAGTTCAGATTTGTTGGGTATAAGTCTAGAAGAGATGCATTCTGAAGTCAGTTAATTCAGAGAATTAATTAAATATAAATGCAAACAAATTTTAGGGTTTGTTCACCCTAATAGTTCTGTTGGGGAAGAGGTACACTTAGATGCACTGTTTTCAGCGTATTGCACTTTTTACTCCCCCCCCCAACAGAATGTGCCAAATTGGTGCTGAAAATGCCAGTGATTGGACAGTCCAGGCTTCCTGATGTGCTAGTCATGTGATGTATGGCCGTCTGCAGCTTTCCTAGCCCTGGGCTGTGTCCAAAGTCTCACCAAGACTTGTGCAAACACCCAGGAATTAACCTGTCCTTTTGGATAATATATGGCAAATCCAGAATATAGTTTACATGGGGAATGCTATAAGTGTGACCCGCACAGTGTCACTAGCAACTGTGATTTGTAATCAAATTGAAACCAAAATGTATAAAGTTTTGTGGGTTTTTTTTTCCTTTTCATCCTTTTGCCTTTTCATCCTTTCCAACGGGGTCACCCAAATGGTGCTGTCAAGTGATAAAAAATTTCTACATATCGTCCTTCTCTGAGAGCTAGCAGGAGTTTAGTATTGTGTAGGTTTTTTTTGATGAACCTGCCAATAACCAGGGACTGAATTTTTTTCTGGAACCCCTCATTGGTAATGCATTATGATAGCAGCTGGCTAATCGATTTGGTTTATAACTTGTCATTTGTTGTTTTTCCAGTGACCCCCAGGCTCTGAATGACTTCTTACATGGATCAGATAAGGTGAGGATAAATATAGTGCGATTTAAAGTCTAAATGTTTACAGGGATAAGGCCAACACTTTTTTTTGGTAGGGGAAAGAGTGCGCTGCAAGTAAATGCTAAAGGTTTGAATACAAAATAATATACAGCCCAGTTCGTCTAGATGCATCTTGTGCACTTATATATAGTAAGTAACCTATACTGTCTAGATCAGCAGGCTGTGGGCCCCAAATCGCTTTGCTCCCAGCTAGGTTAATGCATCTTCTGATGTATGTAATACTGCATTTTGCCCTGTGCAGTGATCGTATGTTCCCTTTTACTATTAAGTGTATGTCTAGGCAGAATAAAAAAAAAAAAAAATCCATACATCTTTGCAATATATATCCATGCAACTCTGCAATACATACATCTTTCCCTGTGCCTTGTCTCTTTAGAAATCCTACCAGAAAAATACCTGTTGATCCTGCTAGAAATGTAGTGAGCTCCTAACTTCTGTTTGCTGAAATCTTTGCCTCTACTTCACATAAATCCTGAGCAGTGTTGTCAGTCGTGCCTCCATATCACAAGGGAATGGTGTGCTGTAGTCCAGCAGGGGAGACTTCTGGATTAACATTAATGCTTGGGTGTTCGATGCTGCAGAGTTGTTGGCTCACTACAGGAAGTTGGGAGTTGACTAGATTTGTGGCAGAATAAACAGATATTTGCAGCAGTTTAAGTATGGAAAGCATTGGGCAGTGTGGATTGTTTGCACGTGTTGTATATACAATATGGTATTTTGGGGCATAGAAAAATGCTTGTAACTGGCAACATGCTGCACGTAAGATGTTTCCGAAGTGTCCCTGAGCCTTATTTTTTCTAGTTTAAAAGTCTTTTGCTCACATTTAGCTCACATCGAAACATTTTCCCGCTTTCTAGACAGCTTTGAAGTACTTGGAAGCATTTGTAGTTCGCCTAGACCCCAAAAGTGTCCTAACTGGGTAACCTTCATGGTATGGTGAAATGTTGGGTAACCGTTCCTAAATGTCAGTTTCACTGTGCAGCAAAGTTCAGTCTCCTTTCTCATATGTTACATTTGGTACCGATCTTTGCCATAACATACGCATAGGATAAGGAATCTGATATAATGAACAGAAGAATGGATTTAATATAATGCTGTAGATCCGTGGTTCTCAACTGGTGGGTCGCGACCCCTTGATCAGTGGGTCACCGCGTGCCTTCCACTTTTCTAGGTGAGAGGCTCCTCAGCCTCCCCCTAGCGCAGCACTGTCAGTTCTCACGCCAAGCAGCCATTCAAAATACGCTGCCCGGTGCTGAGTGTCAACTTCAAGTGGGATGGGTTATGGCCGCAAGAGAGCTCCATCCATCCATCCATACATGCATTGCTTACAGCTTCCTCATGTGACCTGTAGAGGTGCATGGACCGAAGTGACATCACATTCTGACTCACGGAACCTCTACAAGGCACGCAAGGGAGCTGTACCATCAATGCACATATGGATGGAGCTCCATCACAGCACAGCATCCCACACTGGACCTCAGGCTGAGGATCCACTCCAGTTCTCATAAGATAGGGAGACTGGGTGGAACTTAAAATATAAAATAAAAAAGTGTGTATGTGTGAGAATGTGTCTGTGATTGTGTGTGTCTCAGTGTTTTTGAGGGTCTGTTCACACCAGTACAGTGCGTTAATCACACAGCCCCGTACGATTAACACTCTGTACCACGCAAAATCGCACCTACAGCGACTTCTGGTGTGGGAGGTGTGTTGTATTGTTATATGTTTGAATGGCACCCCAAACGCACTCCCATGCATAGTTCCATCACCCACACCGTAAAACGCGGTACGGCAATGCCATGCGTTCCAGTGCGGTGCGACTTGGGTCACGACTTAATGACCAAGGACAAATGTGGGTCCTGAGGTTACACAGGTTGAGAACCACTGCTGTAGATGACATAGATTTCTCTAATCATTTTTTAATAGGCCCCATTCAGAATTATACTTGTAGGATGGCCAGCTGTGCAGCTTTTAACAACAATTTTTTGCATTTAGTTTATTCTGTTTGTTGTTTTATATATATATATATATAACGTTTGCTTGTTAAATTCTTCTAGCTTGACGGTGATGATCTGCTGGATAACACAGGAGATGGAGCGAGTGCCTTCTTTGTGGGCACTGGGGTAAACACTTTCATTCATCCTTTCTGTACTTTTGTACTTGAACCAGTTACTTTGCATAGATATAAATGTCTCAAACATTTTATCACACCTGAAATTTTAGACCAGAAAAACCTAATAAACAAGTTGCCCTCAGGCACAACCTAACCTTAAATTGGAACGGAAATGAGAAACTTCATTATTTCTAAGGCCATAGTGTGCCTGGGCTTGCAATGGTCTTGACTATAATGCCCTGATGCGTATAGTTTCACGACATGTACTAACAATGATGACGCATATGCACCAAGATATATTATTATTTTAAAAGTGGCTTCACGTGCAATTAAAACGGCTCACAAACATAATGCTGACTGCACTCTATTAATATCTGTTGAGTCCCTCCAACATTTTATCAGCTATGTAGTGTGAGCATCAACCTGCTTAGGTATAATGTGAATGTATTGTTTTAGGCAAGTCCTCTCCTGACATTACATGGTTGTTGGTAAATGTTGATTAGATCAGGTCTGAAACACAATCTGTTTGTGGTGAACTTGTCAGTGCTTGCTTTATATATGACCTTTTCTTTGGTGAAGTAGAGTTCAGTATGAATGATCAATCCACAGACACCAACAACTTTATCTGGCCATCAATTTATTGCAAGATAAACATGGGGCAGTGTCAGATAACATCGAAGCCGTGCTTTCAGGTGCGATCACGTGTATTGTGGGCATTTCCAGATGTGCTGGTGGCAACTGTCCCAAAGGTAAATTTCCCTCACTTTGGGTGATTTCCTCTCACTTGCTGTTGCATCACCAAGACAGGAGATGAAGGGAATTTTCCCTAGGAGGACAAGGACAACAACAAAGTAACTTGATAGGGGTTTTAACTAGTATCAATATCGGTGCCGATACAGAGTATTTGGGCGAGTACTCATACTCGCCCAAATGCTCCGATGCCTAGCACGAGTACTTCCTGTATCAGGAAGCTGGCAGCGCGTCATTACACTTGTGATGAGAGAGTATGGAGCCGACTTCCCGGCCAATCAGGAAGCCGGGCAGCATGTAATGATGCGCTGCCCGGCTTCCTGATTGGTCGGGAAGCTGGCCTATCAGGAAGCCGGATGCCGTGTAATGATGCCCTGCTTTTTGATTGGCCGGGAGGCCGGCTCTATGCTCCCTCGTCATGTGATGACGAGGGAGCATAGCCGGCCAATCAGAAAGCAGGGCGTCGCGTCATTACACGGCACCCGGCTTCCTGATTGGCCAGACGGCTACGGCTGGGTAGCGGAGGAAGGCCGCGTTCTGGCTGGAGAGGCCCCGGGGGTGACAGGCTGGGCATACCAGGGTAGGAGGGGGCAGACTTTTTCTTGTTAATCTGTAAGCCGGGTGGTGAGTCATTACACGCCACCTGGCTTCCTGAATGGGACTTCCGTTACTCGGTAATTGGTATCGGCAAGTACTGCAAACAACTATTCGTACTCGGTACCAAAATACCGGTATCTGTGCATCCCTAGTTTTAACCCTTACCTACTCTATTCAAAACGTAAAGGTTTGGCTGTGAATACACTTTTAGATGGATGGGGTGGGGGAAATAAAAAAGGAATAAGGATAAAAAAAGATGAATTTTCTCTGGCGACCTCCTCTTGTTACAATCATTTCTTTACTGAAAATCCACAGGATTTTTCTTAGACAAAAGTTGACTTGAAATTTTGCATCTTTTAAGGAAATGAATGTTTGTTGGTAGCTCAAAATTTAGGAACGCGTGCAGATGCTTAATTTTAGGGCCTTTTGTGTGCCCCCCACAGCATTCAATAGCGGAACAAATGTAAACCAGGAAATAATTAGCTTTGTGACTTGCTGTACACATAACATTGTAACGTTGCAAGAATGTTTATCATGGAAAATGGTTTTAGAATTTTGGCTCGCTGAATATTGCAAATGGAATGACTTTAAAACCTGTAGTTTAATATTGTTTTTTCTATTTTTAATATTTTCAGCTTCATGTTCAGGAAACTCCTGGGAACCATTTAACTACAGAACCCAACCAGTCAGCTGGTGGTGTAGATTTGGACTTTTTGCCAGATGACATCCTTGGGTCTCCATCTGCGGCTAACGCAAGCCTCTCCAACTCTGACCAGCCATGCGACATTCTTCAGCAGAGCCTGCAGGAGGCCAACATCACGGAACAGACTCTTGAAGCTGAGGCAGAACTGGACTTGGGTTCCTTCCAGTTGCCTAATCTGCAGCCCGTGGTGCCGTCCGCTCCGGACGGGACTCCCCAATTATTTTCTGGAGGCGCCGATCTAATTGGACTTCAGCAGCCGGCAGTGTTGACTCACCAAGCACTAGTTCAGCAGTCAGTGGGGGCAGATGTGGTCAACAAGGCCATCAGTGTCCAGCCCTTTATCCAACAAGTTGGCCTTGGTAATGTTACAATTCAGCCAATCTCCAACCTCCCAGGATTGCCCAATGGTAGTCCTGGGGGAGCATTGGGCATTGGGCAAATACAAGTAGTAGGACAGCAAATGATGGCCATCAACCAGCCCACACAGCAGATCATTGCCAAGCAAGTACAGCCAACACAGGTAGCCAACCTGCCAGTGGGCAGCTACCTAACAGGGGGTAATCCTGAGCAGCAGCAGGTCACTCTGACATCAAGCGGGGTGTCACCACAAAATGCAGGGTTGGTTTTACAGAACAAAATTCCCACTGTGGCCACCTCTTTAAATGGGAGCTCTATGTTTGGAAGCATGTCAACTACCCAGTGCACGCAATCGTTAACCGTTACTTCCAGCCTGAACAGCCCGGTTATCATACAACGGACTCCAACTCCAATACAACCCAAGCCTGCTGGTGTTCTCCAGCAAAAGCTGTTTCAGATCTCACCTAAACCTTTTAATCCCAACAACACCACACTTACCATTCAGGGAGAAGCAGCACTGCAGCAGCAGCAGAAAGCCCAACAAAACCTGACATTTATGGCTGGTAAGGCAGGGCAGAATGTGGTCCTGTCTGGTTTTCCCCAGGGCCTTCCTGCCAATGTGTTCAAACAGCCTCCCTCACAGCAGCAGACATTAGGCAAACCCATGAGTGTCCAGCTCCTAAACCAAGGAAGCAGTATAGTTATCCCAGCCCAGCATGCCCAAGCTATGTTACAGGGACAGAACCAGTTCCTTTTGCCGGGAGGATCAACCGTCCAGCAGCTCTCTGCACTGCAGGCCAACATGAGTGGCCAGATTTTAGCTGCATCCCATGCTAGTGGGCAAGCACACATAATTGCCAGCCAAGGTCCAGGGGGCCAGCTTCTCAATCAAACCTTACCTGCCCAGATCCTAACAAATCAAAACCTTGCAAGCCAGCTGAATTTGGGGCAGGTCCTCACTTCTCAGAACGCTCATGGCACAGCTCATATTTTGTCGGGGCCAATACAGCTGCAAGCGGGGCAGGTGGGTCAGCCCACATTGTTCCAGATGCCAGTATCCCTGGCCAGTAGCCTAAGCACCCAAAGTCAGTCCTCAGTAACCACATCTCTGAACCAAGCTGGGCAGACGGTCATCCAAGGAGTTACGTTGCCCAACCAGGTGACCATGTTCAATCCGTCTGATGGGATTGGTCAAGCAGTAAGCATCCAGCAGGCCTCCGCGGGCAGCAGCCAGAGCCCAGGAATGGTACAAGGGGCCAGCCTCCTGCCCAGCACAGAGCAAACCTCTATCCTGACCGTCCAAACCACCCAGCAGGCATCACAAGGACAAGCCCAGCTCCAGATGAATGTACAGCAGCCGCCACAGCAGCCTTTAGCCCCTCAACAAGCGATGCCAAGCCCCAGCATTGATCCCAGCTCCGAAAAAATCATCCTTAGCCAGGCAACGCCAGGAAATATCATTAGTGCCGAGTCCATGCAGATGTTCCTCCAGCAGGTTAGTGTGTCATTTTTTTTTTTTTTCTGGGCACTAATTTTTCTCTCTTTCTAATGAATCAATTAGCACTATAGGCTTGTTTTAAGTCAAGTGCAGTAACCATGGCAACCAATGTGAATTCCGCTTTGCTTTCTGCACTTTGCACATTTAGTCTTCGCCTTATCAGTTAAAGTTCACGTCCACCCAAAACAGAAGCATCAGTGGGAGCTGATGGGATGATTTACTGGCTAATGAAGCTGGAAATTGTGGGTCAGATGTCTTGCCACTGGAGTTCCAAAGAGCCATTGTAAATCAATGTGCCGGCAGAAACTGAAACGTTGGTTTGGGTGGAGTTGGACTTTAGAACTACTGCTATCAGAGTTTTTGGATAAATATAACACGGAAGGTGAATCTGTTTAAAAGCAAATTTGTCATTGCTGCTGCTGCCAGTCTTTCCTTTTTTGTGGACTACATACAATACAGAGAATCTGATTGGTTGCTGTTGGCCACACTTGAAAGTCCTTTCAAACCTATTTAATCAAGGCTCGTAGTTCCTTGAAAGTATTAGGGGAACCACTGTATTAAGGAGCCTAATTTGACATATGATTGCCCTGAATCATATATGTCCCATCTGTCTGCTAAAGGTCTCAATAACAGTCTTAAGGTACCCATACACTGGCCGAATTTCGAACGGTTTTTATTGTAATGGCCGAGATTCGCACAGTGTGTGGGGCTGTCGGCTCCCTTTCAGCTGATTGAGGGAGCCGGCTGGAAAATCTTTGTGCAATCGGAGCCGGCAGCTAATGAGCTGCCCGCTCTCATCTACCATTCAATGCAAACGGCGGCGATTCCTCGATCAACAAGCTGTTTTTTTTGTTCAGCCCGCGGGTTTAATGAAAGAAATTGACAGGTGTATGGCCAGCCTAACAGTATGCACGTCCGTGTAGAATCCTGCACCTGGAAGGGACAGGTGCCGTGTAGCTGCATGCACGCCTGTGCATCTCTAACCACACGCCAATACCAACTTGCACACCCATACAGGTACAAATGCATGCCCTTGGATGCAGACTGTCTGTGTCCATGGGTGTCCATCCGTACCTCGGCGTGCTGCAGCCTCCTGTCCTAGAGATTAACAGGTGGCTGTATGCGGCTACACGCAGCACCTATCCTTCCTGGGTGCAAGCTTCTGCATGGACTTGCATGCTTTACGGCTGTGCATGCCGTTGTGACTGAGGCGTTACTATTTTTGTTAAATGTCAATAAAAAGGTATGACCGCATGTGCAAAGTTTTTTAATGGGGTTCTGAAGGCAGCCTCTGTCCAGAATTGATAATGATGTTTTGAGTAGAGAGCGAAACTTGAATTCTAGCCAAAGATATGCCGTTTATTGAAATGTATACATGTGAACCATTGTACCTGCCGAATATCTGCAATGCTATTGAGCTGGTCTGGTGATTCACACGCTATTGTGAATAACCTCCTGTTTTAGAGCTTTGAGCTCTTCAGTCCGACTCCCCACAATCCCATTGGATTTGTGGGGTGATTGTAGTTTGGGGAGGATACTATAAAGAAAGATATCGGATAATTATACTGGCAGTATTTATTAATACTGGTATGATTTTTGACTAAAGGGTGTTTTCTTTGATATGAGACGATTCACAGCTTCATACAACTAAACCACCACCAAGATAATCCAGCTGTAGAAGTCCTCATTTGTTTTATCACTGGGCTGAAGACAGGAAGTAGACTTCCTGCTGGAAGCCGCACGTTAATTTGTACAGCATTTCCTTCTCCACTGAACACTAAATTGTCCGTTTGGGTCTCAAATGGCCTTCAAGGAGCAATCTAATTTAAAGGTAGTATTTCAGTTTTTTGTGATTTTTTTTTTTTTTTTTGTTTTGTTTTTTTGTTTTTGTAGGGCTGCAGCTAACTATTATTTTCATAATCGATTAGTTGCCTGATTTTTATTTTTTCAACTAATCGATTTGGTTGTTTAAAAAAAAAAAAATCTCTCGTGCTCTATCGCTCTCTCTCCTTCCCCAACCAACTAACTGATGATGAGAATAGTTGCCAACTATTCTCATAATCGATTTAGTTGTTGCAGCCCTAGTGATTTAAATCACCCACTTTTTGCATTTCTCGGGGACTAGATGCAGGATTTGTCCCAGCCCCATCTACTTGTCATGGGTGTCCCTTTTCTTTTACAGTACATAGAATGCAGAAGGACCACTGAGACTATTCCTGCTCTAGCAGGTAGCTTGAGACCTGTAGTAGGAAAAGGATGGGATCTCTGCGCTGGAGTAGCCAAGAGATATAGGAAGCAGGGTGGTCCATTTCACTTACAGCTGAAACAATAGCTTTGGGTGCACTGTGTGTATTTCTAGAAGTAGTTTACATTTGGAAATACAGTATGTACACCTTCAA